CTGCGGGCCGAGCCCGAGCCGCGCGGGGCGCCGGCGGAGCCGCCTCAGGGCCGTGGGTCCCGCAGCTCGGGAGCCGGCGGGGCCAGGATCGTGTTATTTATACGTAACGTCTATAATGCTCTCGTGGTTATTATTTTTATTTGGGTAGGCAGGGGAGGTGGCGGCGGCGGCTCCGCGGCGGGGCCGGGCCCGGTGCTTGCGGCCTGCTCTGTGGCCCCTCCGGCCGCGCCGGGCCCGGCCCTGCCGCGGTTCTGCGCGGAGAATTCTGCCTTTCCCCTCACATTTGGCAGCCCTTGCGGTCCCAGGGGTTGCCCCGGTGCCCCCCGCAGGTGCTGCTGCCCCTGGAGCGCAGTCCTGCTCCCTGGGGCCTGGTCCCTGCCGGCCTCAGTGTCCGTCCAGGCCGTCCCCACGGAGCCTGGTCCGGCCGCCCGTGTCCCTCCGGCTCTCCTCTTATTTGCTCTCTTTTTGGTGCATAAAACACTCAAGGGGAGGAAAAAAGAAAGGCCAAGAAAAGAGGAAGCTCCCAAGTGATGAGGGGCTCTTTTGATGTGGTTTTAGTGCCTGCTTCACTGAGAGAGTTATATTTATCGCTAGAAATCTTGCAGAATATTTTAGTTCTGATCTACTACCGTGATCTTTCTTTTATTTGATTTTTTTTTTGTACCTCATTCTGTTTGACCAGTAATGTTTGGCCGGTCAAACTTTTTTATTTTCTGCCTATAGTCAGTGTCCTGTTTTGGCTTGATGATTTGAAGGTGTTGCCCTTGTGTTTTGGCTTGTAAACATGCAGAGAGGCTTGTAAGTTTGTGGCACTTTTCTTTGTCTCTGTTTTGCTTAGCAATATGTTAGTTTCTGTTGAGAACTTTGAGGTGCCCTCCTAAACTTTGTGGAACCTTAAACTGATAATTCAGAGGAGACTGGGTAGAGAAGCACAGTAACGCTGCCAAAATATTAGAAATGTTCTAAAGCGCCCTCTTGTTTTAGTACCCCAAAAACTTTCATAGTTAATTATAATAAAAATATCTCCCATGCTGTCACCTCTTTAAAATGTAGCTTTAAATCAAACCTGTAACAGCCTAACAGTAAGTTTCAACAAAAGCTGCCTGATAGCCCAGGCATTGGTGGAGCGTGATACTGCGCTGTTACCTGCACCGACAGAGCAAAAGATGCTGATAGAAAACAGCAGAAAACGCGTGGAGATTCCCTCTCAGTGCAAACACATCTAGGTTTGAACTGCTGCAGTCTTGGGAAGCAATATTTGCCATCTTAATAGTCCAGCTAGTGATATGGTTCACTTGTAATTCCTCCATAGAAACAAGTCTAGGTTTGCACGGTAGATTCTGGGGTATTCTAGCACTAGAATGCGGTGTTATGAGATCGGAGGGGGTGCCCGAGGAATGGAAGGGCTAACATTGCCACCCCACCTCGCAGGGGAAAGCAGAGTAGTGGCTGCTCAAAAGTTTTAGCTCTGCGGGTTTTCTCCCCTTCCCCAGAACGTTTGATCTTGAAGATGGTGAGTAGCCAGCCTAAGTACGATCTAATACGGGAGGTTGGCCGTGGCAGTTACGGTGTGGTGTACGAAGCGGTCGTCAGGAAGACCTCAGCACGCGTGGCGGTGAAAAAGATTCGGTGCCACGCGCCAGAGAACGTGGAACTAGCTCTGCGCGAGTTCTGGGCGCTTAGCAGTATCAAGAGCCAGCACCCCAACGTCGTTCACCTGGAGGAGTGCATCTTGCAGAAAGATGGCATGGTGCAGAAGATGTCCCATGGCTCCAGCTCCTCCCTTTATTTACAGGTACATGAAGCTGAGGTAATGGGGTGCAATTAATCTTATGTATTTATAGGCGGGGGGAGAGGAGGTGGGCAGCTAAGAATTCTTTTTAAGCTATGCTTAGCTAGGGGAGGCTATCTGAACTTCCAAAAATTACTTTAGATTTTTGGAACAACATGCTTACTGGCCAAGCATCCTAATCTCTTCATTGGAAGCTGTGCCAGTCCAGGACTCTTTGTTAATGCAAGTCTGCTTTCCGTATTAGAGGAAAGGGCACAAGGAAGGCACAGCAGAGCTATATGGGCTGTTGTCTTCGCTTGGTGGAAGCAGGAGTAATGAAGAGCCACTGAGTAATGGCTTGAGACAGAGCTCTGCAGAACCCCTTAACCTCAGCAGTCCTTGCAAGAGGAAGCAGCCCTCTTGATTTAGGAAACTGACACTTAAAATTCCATAAAAATAAACAATAAGCAATCGTGAAAGCGTAAGGATCTGGTTTTATTTTCTGTGTTTTGAGTAAATAGCTTTTAATCTTTTCAAGGAGCAAGAAAGGTCTAGCATATGATAAATAATGGAGCAGAGCAATAAATACCAGTTTTCCCTGTGTGGCTACTGAGGGCATCTTAAGTTGCCTTTAAGTTTGAAGACACGTGTTGCAAAACAATCAACAGACCTCTCTGCAGGACCCTGGAAGATCATCTCACCCATTCCCTCGTCAGGAAGTTGGCACCACTCTGAAACGTTCCCTTGCAGGTTCTTGCCTGCCTGGCTTCAGTGTTTGCTAGGGTGTAAATGTTTGTTATTCCTGGTCAGCTTTTATCATTTTTATTGTTGTTCTTGCCTGACTAATGTAGGACTCCCTTTTATTGAATGTTCGGCTGATAACACTTCATGGCTAGTGAGTTCCTGTCATTGCTGGAAAGAGGATTCTTGCCTTTGTAACTTGGTTGCTGCCCACCTGAGGGGATTAGAGTAAAATAGTGGTGTTGACCCATAGCTGGTGATTCACCTGCCTACCTGCTCGTCAGCAAAGCAGCGAATACCGCAGCAAAGCTGCAGGTGAATCTGCAAGGGAGGTGGGAAGCGTTTCCAGGTCACCTGCAGCTTTCCAGTGTCCGGATCCTTCCCTGGGATCCTGCTCGTGTCGGGGGGCCGTCGATCGGAGGCACAAGCGCCGCAAGCTGCTCCCTGCTTCAAAGAGCAAAGGGCACGAGGGAGCTGCGGGCTGCAGAGCCTTGGGTAACCTTATAATCGGGCAAATAGGATCTCCCTTGGCTCGCTCTCTCCCTTCTTCCCAGGTATATTACTTTACAGAGCTGGTGCAGTATGTAAAGAAAGCAGCCTGGGGAAGGGGGAGCAGAGTCCTCCAAAGGACCCTCGTGCTCACCCGGCACCCGCTGAACGGATCAGTATAGGAACAGTGGCAAATCAGCTTGGCCTTTCTCCTGGTGCTTCGCCGCGCAGGTGCGGTTTGTGCTCTGATGCTCTGCTGGAAGGTGCAGCGTCCTGCAAAGCTGCTGTAAAGGCGCGTGGAGGTGACCGTGGGTGCTGAGGGGCTCCCTCTGCGAGGCCTGGGTTTCACTGTCCTCCACTGTACAGCCCAAATGAGCAATTACTGTGTGGGTTCCCCGTTCAGTTAGTCTGTTCTGAGTAATAACCACACTCGTAATTTAAAATAGCTTTAAATTACTACTAATTTTGCTCTTGGGTAGAAAGCCTCACTTTTCTTATTTGGAGTGGAAGTACGAAATGCTTTAATAGCTGCGTGTTTTTCTGGTTTTTTTTTAGTGTTTGGCTTGTTTACTCTGATTTACTACTAACAGAAATAAGTGAAAGACTTGCCTCCCAGAATATGCTAGGAGCTACTTGAGAGGAACAAACAAACGTGTAGTTGCGTAAGCAGGATTAGCAAAATTGATTGCTGGTTTAGTTTCTTTCTTTGTGTAGAGCAGTTTTTAAGCTAGCTGGTCAAGGTATTCATTGCATGTATTCCAGCACATAGCTAGTTAATGGCGATGGTGAGAAATGTGCTCCTGGCAGCAGCTGTTTAGCTGGGCACGTAGATTAGTCTTCCCCTGGGTTAAGGGATATGTTAACACTTACTAGAAAGCATGAGGAAGGGAGAAGGACCCTTGAACCCTCTATTTTGCCATTTCCTCAGCAGGGGACAAACCTGACGCGTCGGCTCTGTCCAGAGTCGCTTGCAGAAATGCTGTTTATCCGCCAGGGCTGCCAGCAGGTTGGGTGGGCCGGGCTTTGCTGGGCCGGGCCGCTGCCCGGCTCGAGCAGATGGGGCTGAGCGGCCGCACGGTATCTCTGAGCGCCCTTATCAGGGTATAGCCCCCGTTCCTGGGCCAGAGGGGAAACCCGATAGGCTTCACGCGCAGAAAAGTAAGTCGGCAGCCAAGCACATTGTGGCTTTCGAATCTTCAATTGGGCATGCGATTTTGTTGTTGCTAGCTGCAATATCTTATTGTCTGGGTTGTAGAGAAGGTCCAGACTTCTTGCATTTTTCCGTCGTATCTTTGTGTTCTCGTGACCAACAGGTAGTTATGACATTTCTTTTCCTGTTGCAGCTTGTAGAGACCTCGTTAAAAGGAGAAATAGCCTTTGACCCCAGAAGTGCTTATTACCTTTGGTTTGTAATGGATTTCTGTGATGGAGGAGACATGAATGAGTATCTGTTGTCCCGAAAGCCCAACCGCAAGACCAACACCAGCTTCATGCTTCAGCTCAGCAGCGCTCTGGCTTTCCTGCACAAAAATCAGATTATTCATCGCGATCTCAAGCCTGACAATATTCTGATCTCGCAGAGCAGGATGGATGCCAGTGACTTGGAGCCTACCCTGAAAGTAGCTGATTTTGGGCTGAGTAAGGTATGCTCGGCTGCAGGACAGAATCCTGAAGAACCAGTCAATGTAAATAAGTGTTTTTTATCTACTGCTTGTGGGACGGACTTCTATATGGCCCCTGAAGTCTGGGAAGGCCACTACACTGCCAAAGCAGACATCTTTGCCTTGGGGATTATAATTTGGGCCATGTTAGAGAGAATCACATTCGTAGATGCAGAAACGAAGAAAGAACTTCTGGGGAGTTATGTCAAGCAAGGGACGGAAATTGTGCCCGTTGGAGAGGCGCTTCTAGAAAACCCTAAAATGGAACTGCTCATCCCTGTGAAGAAAAAGTCTATGAATGCTCGAATGAAGCAGCTCATCAAGGAAATGCTGGCCGCCAACCCGCAGGACCGCCCCGACGCTTTCGAGCTCGAGCTCCGCTTAGTCAACATAGCTTTCAAGGACAGCGGCTGGGAGACGTGACCTGCCGCCGAGCCGTCCTCCCGAAAGAGCTGCTTCTGATCCAACTGATGGTGCCGTTTTTGTGTCAGTAAAAGAAGTAAGCCTGAGCTTGAACCATCAGGGCTTGTTTTTCTTACGAGCAGGGTTTCTTTTGAGCTTCTTAAATTATGTGAGCTTCAGTTGGTCGCTCTGCTAGAGGTACTTTTAGGCGTGTGATAGCAGGACGTTGCACACAAGTGTAAGATGAAGATGTTTGTCTAAGCTGGCGGCTGAATGTAGTTAGAGCTGAGACTTGATTTCCAGCGTTTTGTTGTGGAGTATCTCACACATTCCAGTTTCCTGTGTCAGTATTAGGAATTCTCATGGGAAAAGAGGTTTGCATGCTGGTAGTGCAAATCCCTGGGCTCTGTACAGTAATTCTGTTTAAATACTTAAGTACACGAGAGTGACTGGGAGTGTATGCCTGTCTGTATTGTATTCATTAGAGAAAATGCCACTTTTCTAAATTATTTACTATGGGCTTGAATGATTGGGATCTGCTGGAAAAATGGGTGAGGAAGATCACTGAGAAGCATTCCTCTTCCAAAGCTGAATAACTTTATTTTTATTATCTAACATAAGAGATGGGATCTAAAACTTGAATATGAGAGGGGGGGAAAAAGGCAATGCAAAGGGATCAGCAGTTTTAAAAGTGCTGAGATGGTCGAGCTTAGCACTTGGAGCTTAATGAGCTTATCACTGAGGGAGTCAAACTACAAATGGATGCATTCAGGTGCTGGCCCATTGGCCAGGTCATTAATAATTCAATTTTGCTTTCTTCTAGTAATCAAACACTTCAATCAGTCAAGCTACTGTTTCATAACCTGCCTGCTGCTCTTGGAGAGGGAATCTGGCCGTTTCAGACGTTACTTTAAGGCTCTTCAAAATACAACAGCGCTCTTTGTTACCTGGGCCTAACAAAGCGGTGGCCATGGCCTCTCCCTGGCTTTCTGGCATTGCTTGGTGACAAAGGGATGGCTGTTGGTGGACTTCAAACACACCTATTTTCCTGCAGGAGGGCTTAGTAATCAGTACACGAGAAGGTGTTTGTTTTGTGCACTGACCTTGGCCACTGTTTGAGTTTGTTTTCCTCCTTTTCTTTTTAAAGTAGTATTTATTTAAAGCCAGGGATCGTAGCGTGGTGACATGAAGAGCTTTGCAGTAGTTGAAAGGCCACTGACCTGATGAAGAGTTTTCTTTAAGGTTACCTAGCACTGTCGGGTAGAAGTTTTGTTCTTGCAGGAGTGAAGGAGAGATTCTCCCAGCAGCTGCTGATCCTCCCAACCCTCTGATGCTTTAGACTTTGCTGCTTCTCACCTGCTTTTGTGCAGCCCAGCAGTTACTCAAGGTCCGTGTCCCATGTCTGTTATTTTGCTTCACTTTATCCTTCGAGGCAAGTTACCTAAACTGTGATTTATTTATATATTTTGGGACAAATATACCTTCCTGTCCCAAAGCAATATTGGCTGTTTAGGAGATGCTATGGAAGTACAAAGGAATCATCGGAAACCGCTGCGGTCCCGTGCCGAGTTGTTGGTGAACGCGGCCTCCTCCTAGTCGAGGCCTGTTACCTCCATCAGTCCCAGTGCTGCTGCTTCCCAGCAGGGAGCTCAGCCCATAAACACGGGGTTAGAGCCTATAAAGTAATAGTGACAAGGAGAGATCTGTTTGTTCTTCCCTTCTGGAAGGGGAGATCTGCTCGTCCTCATGTTTTATCCGAATTCAGTACAATGAAAAGCTTTGCCTTGTGCTTACTGAAAGGAGGAAAACAAACCTCTTGCCATCTGCACCAGCTCTGTTTCACAGTCCTTGTGCTCGCGTGGTCGAGGAAAGAGAGTGCTGTAAACTCTCTTAACTTCCATCTCGACCCTGGGAGTTTCAGAAACCCTCTACTAACTCCTTTTCTCTGCCAGGCACCCAAAAACCAGGATCACCTCTTTTATCTCAATGTGAATTTATGGTGGAATAACAGCACTAATCTTTTAAAGCACTTTGCAAATCATCCGATCATCCTCCGTTTCCCGGGACGAGCACTTTGCCCTGCAAAGTCCTGACTCCCCAAGTGTTTCCTTGCACTGATCGCCACTTTAAAGGATGGGGGTACCTGAAATCCCTCGCATGGTGCTTAGCCTTGATGCTGGGTGATGCTGAGTGTTTTCTTGGTTACTGCTGCGTGACTGTCCTCGAGGTCTCTGCCGTTTGACTTGTCTTCATTCTGTCTGAGGTTGCTGTTGGAGAAGCCTTCGATAAAGTTCACTGGTACAGCAGCTGCAGAAGTCACCAGCGTGACACAAGTCAGGATGCTCATCAGCACTCGGGGAGGGGAAAAAAAGACATTCGAAACTTTCTTTAAGAGCTGTAAAATATATTTTATGGAGAATTTATAATGGGGGAAAACTATTGTGTAATTTATTAAGTTTGTGACTTTTTAAAATAAAAAAAATGAATTTCGATGCTTGAACTCCTTGCAGAGAGCTGCTTTCTTTTCAGTGTGTGATGCGCGGGATCAGCCTCCTGCAGACGTGCGAGACTGGGAGCCACTGGCTGCACAGGCCTCAGGAAGAAAGGGAGAGGAAACAGGGTTAGTTATGCATGCTACAGGGGCCTACAAACAATTTACATTTTTAATTAAGATGCTGCAGAAGAAAGGGCTTGGCAGACTGGAAACAGGGAAATGTGGCGATTCTGCTTTTCTCTCTGTTATCCCACCAGAAATCCTGGTCCATTCGTCTTCCGTGTCCCTCTGCACTCGCATCTTGGCCTGCAGCCTCCAGCTTACATCGGTGCTGTAAAGAAGCAGATTTCCTGTGGGGCTGAGGCCTGTGGCTTAAGTCGGTAAGCCAGTATGGCTTGTAAAAGCTGACATTGAAACCTCCTCTTGCCTTCCTGAAAGGATAAGCACCTGGACCAAAGGAGAAAGGGTCGGCTCCCTAGTTCTAAAGGAACAGGCTTGATTAGTTCAAGGGTCGGCTTGATTCGTTCTAAAAGGGATGATTTAGAAAATAAGTATCAGCCACACTCTCAATTAAATGAGAAGACACCCATGTGTTTCAAAAGAATGCATGAAAACTGCTTGCAGGTAAATAGATATCCACGGGCGAATGTCCCACTGCAGAAGTTACACTGGAATAGGCTCCCCCTTTGAGTAATGCAACTTCTGCTTTGCTTTGCAGGCGCCTCCGAGTTCGGTTTGCTCGTCCTGCTCCCTAGGGCAGGGCTTTGCCGGGAGCTCCGCGGACTCGCTGCATTTTCATTTCTGCTTTGTGTTCATTTGAACAGTTGGGGTTTTTTTTGCCCCAGCCAATCATGACTTCTGCTTTGACTGCAACGTACGGGCAGACGTTGCCTTGTGGTTGAGATAAAGGTGCCGGAAGAAACGCGCGGCCGCTGGGAAGGGCGCCCTGCTTAACGGGAGCAGCTTCCTCCTCCTCCGGGCGTTGGGTGGACTTTGGACCACGTGCAGCACAAACAGCTCGTTTTGCATCGCGTCCCTTGGCGCTGCACCAGCGTCCTGCGAATGCTTGTCTCCCCTCGGTGTGGTCTGGTTTTAAATATTATTTTAATATTTATAAATATTAAGTAGTAAAATAAATATTTAAATACAGCTAGTGGCCAGTGCAGTAAAGCTCCCAGCAATGCAAAGCGCATCGTCCCACAGAGAACTAGTTAGAGGTGTTTAAGTGTAAGCTGCTGTTATCGGGGCCCTGCAGCTTGGGCACTGCTGAGCACTGACTGGTCTTCGTTTGCTGTCCCCTCCTAGGGGCGAAGGGAACATTTCATGCACGGCACTGGCTATTCCCAAGTGCAGTTAAGGAACCGGGATGCACCTCAGAGGCCACAGCCCTCCGGGCTCTGTGCTGCAGCTTCTCGGATCCGTGGATCTGTCAGTGCTTTGGGGAGTCTGAGCCTTATTTTTTGTAGGCAGAGCAAGTGAAGCCTGGAGAAACGGAGTGACTTGAAAAGCCTGTGACCCAAGAGGGTCCTCGCGGGCCAGGCTGGCAAATTGGAGCCGCAGCCGCTGCCGGGATGGAGCATCCCCAGCCCGGAGCCGCCTCACGTGCGCCTTGCTCGTGTAAAGCGCTTCCAGCACGACAGGCAGGCCTGCTTTGAGCTCCTGGGGGATGAGAGCGGCTTATTGCGGGTTTTTGCAGGAGTGCAAGGCGGGTAAAGGGGGCCGAGGCGGCATCGCCCGCCCTGGGGACGCCTCCCCGCGCTCGGGGCAGCTGCTCTGCTCCCTCTGCCCACGCGGTCCCGGCTCCAGCACTGACTTCTGTTTTGCTTCCCAGGTGCCAAACAGTAGCTAGAAAACAGCAAGACCGGCAGCCTCCACTTTTTGGATCCATCAGCAGCATGTGGCCTGGTGCCTTTTCTCCCATCCCAGCTACAGCCTCATTCCCACTTGCCAGGAGCCGTGGTTGCTCATTTAGGTTTACATAAACCCACTTGAGCCCTGGGTATTTTTAAACTCTTGTAGCCTCCCGTCCTCCCAAGTCAAGGTTCATGTATCTGGATCCCTCGGGCTGGTGTGCAGCCTGTGCCAGCTACTCCCTCATATCCAGGCACACACAGGGAATCCAGGGCTTTCCCTGGGAAGCCCAGAGTGCTGAGGACTCCACGGGAGACTATTCCCTCTGAGTCATGGGGTTCTCCTTGGGAGCCCCGTGCCCGGGGCAGCGCAGGGACACCGGACAGCTGTCCCCATTAATGACAAAGAGCCCTTGTCCTTTAAGGACTCCTCGGAGGAGCGGGAAGCTCCGCTGGGGCATCCGTGCCGAATTGAGCTCGTGCTCCCTGCTGTCCCGATCGGACACGGCAGGCGCCGGTCCCGCTCCAGCGCCCCGGCGGTGGCCTTGGGGTCCCCCTGCCTGCCCAGCTGGCCCAGATTAGAGCCGGGGCCGTCCCGCCGAGCTCCTGCTGAGGCGCACGGGCCGCTCCTGATGCGCTGGGATGGAAAATCGCCCTGTTCCCTGGCCACGCAAGCCAGGAGAGAGGATGTCTTGCTGGGAATGAGGCTGTTTAATCAGGAGCTGGACACGCTCTGTAAAACCCCTTTGGAGGGAAGAGTTGCACGCTCGGCCTCCTGACCTTTGAGCTCTTTCTCAATCTTTCCAGCCTTGAGCGCTGGAAGTTTCCTCGGCGCGGAACAAATCCTGACCGGCTCATGTAGCCGCTCGCGAGGCAGCGCTGGAGAAGAACATCGGCTCGGGAGAGGCAGGGAATGCTGCACAAGCAGCTTGGATGGATGTTGTTTGGATGGCTGTGTCAGGCTGGCTCTCCCTCTCCCGGCCCTCTGGGACTTGCGGCCGGTAAAGAAATTACTCTACAAATGAACTGTTTCCTATGTCATTTTCTCAGGCACCTGAGAGGGGGACCCTGGGCTGGAGAGGCCGCGGAGGTGCCGGGTTGTGGGGCCGGGCAGGAACCGCCGCATCCGCTACAGAAGGAGGTGAATCAAAGGCTGCCCGGACTCACGCGTGTCCTTACCAGAACAGCGGGCTGAATTCCAGCTTGGAAAACAATCTGGTCCTCATAAACAGTGATTCACGTTGCCTGGATGAGGGGCCAGGCTGATCACAATAAGGTACTTTTGTCTCCAGAGGGCTACCTTGGCGGGCCCTGCCTGCCCTCTTCCCGGAGGGGACCGTCCTCCACTGGCACCGAATTCCTAGGATATTGCGCTCGTTTTCCCCTCTCCTTACTGCTCTCCTGCTGGGTTTGTCCCTTCCTTGCTTTCCCAGGAGATAACCCGGGGCTGGCAGAGCTGGGACAAGCCCTGGGCTCGGAGCTCCCGCCCTGGCTTGAGCCTCTATTCCTGTCCACGCTGGTGGCCACGTGCAGGGACCGACCCGGCCCCGTTCCTGGCACCGCTGCAGACACCGCAGGAAGGAACCGGCCCATGGGAACGGCAGCGCTCGGCACCGGCTCTGCTTTCCCATAGGGGACAGAGCGTCCCGGGCTGCCGTCCCAGCGCCAAATCCCACCGCTCCAGAGCCTCCTTGTGCCACGTTTCTCTGCCATGGGTGTTGCTACGTCCGTGCTGCCCGCAGCCCGGACTGCTCCGGGTGTTGGGCCCGTACCCCCTGTACCCTATACAGGTATATAGGTGAACACCATGTTCATACACACCACAGTTCCTAGGGGAGCAAGCATCCCTACTACCTGTGCAGAGCTGGGGGCTGCTCCCCCCGCCGCCCTCTGGGAAGGGGAGAGGACAGAGGTAAAAATAACCCTCAGGCTGGATCCTGGCGCTTGTGGCTTCCTGCGATTTACAGCCCTTCCCGGAGGCAGGAACCTGCCGGCCCCGAGCTCCCTTTGACCCTTTCGGTGCCGATGGGGAAGGTGCCGGAGGGACCTTCCTTTGCTCCACTCCTTTTGCCGGCAGCTGTTCTGGAGCTGGGGCTCGGAAGTGAGGGTGCCCGTAGCATCCTTGGACAAGCAGATCCCACAGGATCCCCGGGAATGGCAGGCGGCAGGATCCTGCTTTCGGGCTTCCACGGGCAGAGATGCACAATGAGGAGGGGGTGCCTGGTTTCGCCACCCTGTTCTTGCTGCTCCGTGTGCTGCGATGGGCAGAGAGCCTGATCCCCGCCTGCAAACCCCTGAGGAAGGAGAGGAGCCCGTTCCGAATCAGGACATGGAGTAAAAATAGAGGAGCAGAGAGGAGAATGAGCAGGGGTTGACTGTAGCTGTGCGCGGGGCTGCAGCCAGGGCTGGGGGTGTGCGGCACCGAGCGGGTTAACGGCAGGGCCGGCACGGAGCGGGTTAATGGGGTGGCTCTTCCTCACGTGTATATGAGGCTCCCGCAGGCTCCGGGCTCAGCTGGCGGCCGGAGCGACGGGAGCGGGAAGGGTCGGAGCAGGGCGGGCTGGGAGCATCCGCGGAGCGCCACGTCCTTGCCCCGCGTGGCCCAGGTGAGCGCGGGCACGGCCGCTTGGGGTAAATCCGGGGGGTTATGGGACCGCGTGCCACTGGAGACGGGCAGAGGCCGCAGGGCTTCTCCGCAGGGGGCAGAGCCCCCCGAGCCCCGTTTGCCAGGCGTGCCGTGGCGGGAGCACCGTGCGCGTGGCGGGGCCGCGCGCGGCGGCGTGTGCTGCTCTGTTAGCCACCCTCTCCATCGTCCCCAAGGCCACCGCGCCGGGGCTGGGTAGCTGTTAGTGCTGGGGCAGCTCTGTGGCCATTTGGGTCTTTCCCTTCCTGGAAAACCATCTGCTTTGGGCATTTACAGCCTCGGGCTCCAAGTGCCTGCACTGGACATGTCACCTCTGGATTTATAGTCCCATCCTGCCCTCCGCCGCTGCCTGTCCCTCCCCTCTCAGCCTTGGGCCCCTCTTCTGGGACTGAGGCCGGACTAAAGCTCGGGAAGAGCTTTTGGGACGCTGGGCTAACACAAGCCCTTTGCTCCGTGATCCAGGGAGAGCATGGGAGCCCGCGCACGGCAGCGCTGGCACCGGCACCTCGCCGGCCTTCCTGCCCGCGCTTCGTCCCACGCTCATAAAGAGAAGCAGTCCGGATGGGTATTTTTTCCGGTTGGAAGCGGCTCCAGGGGCGCCGGCGGATACGCGGCGCTTCTCTCTTCCTGCCGTCCGCCCGTGTTCGAGATGCTCCGCAGGGGTCAATCCCAATCCCAGCCGTTCGCCTTGTCCCGAGTCCTTTCCTGAGCCTCCCTAGGTGCTAATCCGCCCTTTTCCTCTCTTCCCCCCAGGGCCGGAGCCGAGTGCAGGAGCCAGGCGGGCGCCCCGCGGTGACACTGGGGACCACCGAGCCATGGTCCTCCTGGGCAGCCCGTCCCTGGCCGCCTGTGCGCCCAGCCACATGCGGCTGGTGGCCCCAGGCCGTCGCTTCCCACCCGCGGCCCTGCTGCTCCGCGGCGCCAGCTCCGCGTGGGAGCCGATGCCGGGGAGCCGCGCGCCCAGCGCCGCCGAGCGCCTCGAGGCCGACAAGGCCAAGTACGTCAAGTCGCAGCAGGTCATCAGCAG